TGATAGCATCCATATCACTTTGCCAAGGAGGAGCAGTAGCAGGAGTGGCGGTAGTGGGCGGTGGTACCTCAGCAATAGCAACAGTACGGCTGCGAGAAGGTGGCTTAAGCTCTGGATGGAGCTTCCAGCAAGTAGCCCTGAGATGTCCTGGTCGGCCACAATAATCACATTGACGGGAATCCCCCCGTCTGCGCTGATCTGGGGCGCCCTGACGGCGCTGGTCTGAGCGTTGCCCATCCCTGACTAAGGATCCTGAACGGGACCCTACAGCAGCTGCAAGGGCCATCTGGTCAATCGAAGGAGTCAAAGCTGCAACTGGAAGTGATGCAATACGGACTCGACGCTCATGCTGCTCAATCATCCCATACACCTCATAAAGAGAAGGAAGTGTCAACATCGACAAGATCTGAGAACGAGGTCCCTCAAACTCATCACGAAGCCCCATAAGGAACTTGTGAATCCTATCCTCCTGCTCTCGAGTATGCAAGAATGCTGCTCCCTCGGGCTCTATCTTCGGAATAGCAGCAAGAGGACGTAGAGACTCATACTCAAGCCAGCGCTGGGTCAAATAGCCATAATAATCCTGAACGGTCATATCTCCCTGTCGAGCATATGAGAGCTCCTGAGAAAGCTCATAAACACGAACTCCCCGTCCTGACTGAGAATACATCTCTGATAATGCGCTCCATAGCTTCGGAACAGAGCTATGAAACTGATGGATCCTGCAAACAGAGGGCTCCATTGAGCCAAATAACCATCCAAGAATGGCACAGTTTTCAGAGAACCACGCAGAATATCCAGGGTCGGCATCAGCTGGCTTTGGGTGAGATCCCGTCAGCCAACCAAGCTTCCCTACACGGCCTAAGAAAAGCTGGAATGAGCGTGACCACTCAGCGAAGTTACGACCATTCAACAATTGTGCCGTAACTTTTTGAGAGATCATGCCCGGTAATGCTGGTAATGCAACTGTGCTAGTAGGCACTGTATACTGGTCAAACATAAAAGTGGAAGTACCCATAGATGTCTCAACGGTAGAGGTGTCAACAGTAGGGTTCTCAAGTCCCTCAGTAGTAGCCATATCAACAACAATACTAGGGCACCCGTGACAGAAAAATAACTCTAAGATAAATAGAGGAATAAAATAAGGGAGAACAATATACCTTCAGTCGAACAGTAACGACAAATAAGGAAGGTCTAAAAAGCTCCCAAATAATCAAGTCACGGTGCCCAGAAATCCAATAAATATAAATGATCTACTGCATTAAAAGCAGATCAACGGAGAAAAGGATCTGGTGCCTCCTCAAAAAGGCCTAGATATTGCAACTCTAGAAAAAAAGGTGGCGCGAAAAAATAGCGACACTGTGACGAAAAGATACACGTGACCCGATAGCGGGTTAATGAGTGGGCTGGTTTGGGGCTGAACTGGGCAGTGGGTCGACGAATTGAGGTGGGCTGGGTTATGGGTTATGGGTTATGAGTTATATTGATCAAAGAGGCGGTGGGCAGTCGGTGGTGTTTTTGGCTGGGTTCTATCGGTGGGGCAGGCAGTGGGGGTTTTGTGGGTCGCTGGTCTGGGTTGGGTGTGGGTAGTCGGTTGTTGGTGTGGGCAGTCGGTTGGATTGAATTTTGATGTAGGCAGTCGGTTGTTGGTTGCTGTCGGTGGTACCAGGCAGTAGCTTGTCTGGTTTTGTCGCTGGCGGTGTGGTCTGGTTCTGATGGGAGGCTGGGTTCCTTTGCTGGTTTGAGTGGGTCGATGGAATGGGCTGGTGTGTGGTTTTGTCGGTGGGCTGCTGGACGGTGTAGCAGAGGTAGACGATTTTGGTTTGTCGGTTTTGCTGGTGGGCAGTGATGTCGGTGGCTGGTATGTGGGTTCTGTCGGTGGGGCTGCTGGACGGTGTAGCAGAGGTAGACGATGGAGTGGAGGCTTAAGTTAGAATTAGGGTTAGGGTTAATGGCTCTGATACCAACTTGAGATAGTTGTGAATGAAAAGGGATACTCAAACTCAAAGTAGAGTCCCGTATATATAGCCAAAAATAATACAGAGTGACTTAAACATCCTTGTAGTTTAGGCAAAATATAAAAATCATAGTAAGGGTAAAAAAGAGAAAAGAAATCCTAATAAACCTAGACTATCTATACTCCAACAAGATCAATTTAAATTTTACTTTAAAGTTAATCTAATGACTAATATTAACACCCTAAATTTAAAAGAAAAAATAAGTCCCCTAAAGATATATTTGAAGTGATTTTTTAAAAATACTTATAAAAATTATTTATCATAAATATTTTTTTTAAAAATAGTATTTGAAATTGCCCCACCACTGTCACTGCCACCCCCACCGTCGCCACCACCATCGCCCTTGTCGTCGCCACCACCACCACCGCTACCACCACAGCCACCATCCCTGCCGTCGTCACCACCATCGTTCTCGCTGCCGCTACCGTCGCCACCACGATCATTGCTACCCATCACAATCATTACTGTCTTCTACCACCACCACTGCCGCCTACAACCTCTCACTTTCACTATAAACCGATATTTAAGTTCTTTTATTTATTTTCTATGTTTGTAATTTTGATTGGATATGAATACAAATATGTTTATTGTTTACTATTTTTATTAATCTGTGCCTTTAGGCACAGACAATAACTAGTATATAATAAAGTAGCTTACAATTCAAATCTCAAAAGATAAAAAAATGACTTTTGCTATTCGCAAGTTGAGATCGCTTTAAATTTTATTTTAAAGTTAATCTAACAGCTAATATTAACACTCTAAATTTAATAGAAAAAATAGGTCTCAAGGATATACTTGGAGTGACTTTTTAAAAGTACTTCTAAAATTATTTCTCATAAATACTTTAAAAAAAAAAAATAGTGTTTGAAACCGTCACACCATTACTACTACCTCGACCACCACCACTGCCGTCGTCGCCACCACCACCGCCACCACGATCATCACCACAACCGCCGTCTCCGCCCTCGCCACCCCCATCGCCACCACAGTCATTGCCACCCACCACAACCATCACCGTCTCCTACCACCACCTCTCACCCCAACTATAAACCGATGCTTAAATTCATTTATCTCTTATCTATATTTGTGATTTGATTTTAAATATGAATACAAATATGTTTATTGTTTACCATTTTTTATTACTCTGTGCCTACACAGACAATAATTACTCTATATAATAAAGTAGTTTACAATTCAAATTTCAAAAGATAAATAAAATACTTTTTACTATTTGTGGTTGAGATCGCTTTAAATTTTACTTTAAAGTTAATCTAACGAGTAATAGTAACACCCTAAATTTAATAGAAAAAAATAGACCTCTAAGGGTGTGTTTGGATTGACTTTTTAAAATTATTTTTCAAAATTATTTTTCATAAATACTTAAAAAAAAAAATAAGTAGTGTTTGAAACCGTTTCACCACCACTGCCACCGCCGTCGTCGCCACCACTGCCACTGCCACCACCACCACCATTGCCACCACCACAACTATCACCGTCTCCTACCACTACTACTGTCGCCCACCATCTCTCACCCCTACTACAAACTGATGCTTAAATACTTTTATTTTTTCTCTATATTTGTAATTTAATTTTGGATATGAATAAAAATATGTTTATTGTTTAACATTTTTTATTATTCTGTACCTTCAGACACAAATAATAACTAGTATATATATATATGGGACACCTCGGCCTCGGCCTTGGCCCTGGCTCTAGCCCTATTATAAATTGAATGGAAAATTATAATTTGACACTCTTTATTTTTATATTTTTCATATTACACCTTTAATTTTTATTTCCTCGAGGATTAACATTGTTTCCATTCGACGATAAATTGCCACACTTGGGGCTCCGAACTACGTAACAACACTAACATTTTCCATCGGAAAGATAAGCAATATTTACTTTTAGGATAATATATAATCCATTGAAATAGTTGAGAGGTCCAAGTGTAATTTGCTCTAAATTGAAACCGGGATCTGGACAGAGCATTAGATTCCTGACTCGACAAGTTGTCCCTGTACATGGGCGTGGCTGGCGTAAGTATTAACATACAAAGACTTCACACAACCTCTAATCTTAGACCAGCCATTCTCATAGTCATAGATAATTAATCGTAATCTTCAAAGGGAAGAGAAGAAAAGGCTACGATGCAGAAGGAAGAGCGCAATAGCAACTACATTTTGTCTCTACTTTATATCCAATAAATCAATAATGGTATTATTGACCTAATTCATTACAACTATCAGATTGGTTGCAAGTTCAAATAAATATTAGGATACAATGTCAATTCAATGATTATTAATGATTAGATAAATAAATATTACCCTCAATAAATATATCTTATGCCTAGCTAGCCCTATGATAAATTAGGTGGTGAAAAGTGACAAATTACTACAGTTAAAGGTCAAAGTTTAAATCCTAGACACAAAGATCACTCAATGCTATCCTCAAAATTGAGGAAGAGAAGAAAAAGGTAAAACTAGAACAAGGGTGAGCCGAATGTGATAATCTTTCCCCTTTTGTGGCTAGCCGAGATCATGTAGATAAGGAGGTGTTTGTAATTTTTTGTTGAGACAACTGGGAATATTTATGGCATTACATCTATTATCTATTAGCAAGAAGGCCAACTTGCTCTTCTTCCATTCCATTGAAACAATTGAGACATGGATGACTGACATGGCACCGTACCTATTGCAGGACATAGCAAGTGGTTATTTCTCGATTGAAGCAACTGGGTTGAGTGGTATCATGGCAAAGGTATCCATTCTTTTCTTCCACAATCCAAAATGATACCAATTTCTTATTATCTTCCTAAAGTGTTCCAAGAACATAAAATCTTACAACAAAATACAGAGATTCAATTATTCTCGTACAAACTAAAATAGAATATCAAGCTCTTAAGTCTAGAAAATCATCAACAACCTTAAAGTATGTCAAGCTACACACCATGAACAAATAAACAAGGCCTCTCAATCTTTCTTAATAACGTTGTGGAAGGAGAACAGTAAGGCCAACGGATATTCCAAACAGAAGTATTAACAGTCCGGTGAAGTTCACAATTAGGGCTTCTTGACCACGTTGTAGCTTTAAGAAAATAAATTTCTCCACCAAGCCGGTCTCGGCAGACAAAATTGCCATGAAGAATATGACAATGCCGAAAAACACATGCCACGGAGCGAGCCGAGCTCTTGTCGACCATTCTGCACCCGGGAACAAGAAAGCGAAGAATGCGAAGAGCAACTAACAAACAATTAAAATTTAGGGTTAATACTGAATTTTCAATCAGTGAAACACAAACTACCAATAGACCATGATAAAAGATTGTGACTTCTAAATGTTGTGGACGAAATAACATGAGTGCCTCCATAGATTTCGGGTCTAAATAAAATTACTCCTTTCCATAGTGAAACCGACGACCACATTTTAAAAGATATATAATTCTTGGGCTTTGTCACAGCAATTGAAAAACCCACTAAAGCAAGTTTTGATACAATTAATTCTCAAATAAAAAGAAAAATCACTTATGTAACTATTAAACCACCATCTCATATAAAACATTAAGGTTGTAGAAAGAAGTGTAACAAAAGTAGTTATGTAATACTCCATCTCACGTATGCCTCCTCTTAGTAGTCTGTCCACGTGATTGTTTTTGTTCTTGCTAGTAAAACAGGAGACACTGATGTGATTCAAAGTTGGCACTTTTTGGCTTTAAAATCATATCTATGTTTAATTACCAAATGGACTTTGGGTCCACTAATATTCCTTACCTTGTGAAGGTTTTTGCCTTTATGAAGTCAACCGCTCAAATCCCCCCTCCCCTCCCCTACCCTCTTCTCCCCCCCTCCTAAAAAAAAAAATGTTTAATTAGTGATTACTCCAAATGCTTAAACTATTCAAAAGAGTGTAACATAAATATTATTCAATAGCATTTAGTAACTAGTGTCAACCCATATATGTCTTGGAGTGGTCAGCTGAGTGGACCGAGTGAACAAAGTAAAAATAACACGAACAACGCTTCAACAACATAATTGTATGACTTAATTCGTTGACCTAATTATTCACTGTTATAGTTAGATCACAATATTAGATGAAGTGTATTGTGAATGGATGAATCACATTAGTTTAAGTCGACAAATTAGTTTAGATGATCAGATTGAAGTAGTATTATTTTAATAATGTATGCAAACTAATTAACAGGAGATCATGGTACCTGCAAACCAAACAGGCAGATGGTGGACAATCCCAGCCAGGAATGCAAGGTGTACATATCTGGAATTCCCAGCTCATTGTGAAACTTGAAAACTGCATAAATCCCCACAATTCCAGCGAGTAGAGCAATTAAATGCAATATGAAATGAAATCCTTTCTGCACCTTTCTTGTTGCTGGTACAGTCTTGTATGCCATTATAGCTGATTCAAAAACAAATTCAGTCAGTTTATAGTATATGGTCCCATTGGCTGCACTCGGACACTATATAGACTCACTTCACCAAAAAAAAAACACTCACACACATACTCACACTCTATAGACTTGAAAATTTAATTTCCTCTTTTGCAAAAAGAAAAGTAGCATTTGAAGTCTTAAAACCTTTCTACAATTTAGTCCTAAAAGCTACAGTCATTCAATTTGCTGTGAAATGTTTATTTCACAGTTTGTGAGGAAGGCAGCTATTATCATTTTTAAGTCTTGGAGAAATTACACTTTGACCTCTTGAACTATGCCTATGCCTCAATTGCTCCAACAACTTTCCATTTTTTGCACTATACCTGAATTTTTGGTTATTAATTTTTTGTAGCTTCAATTGCATTATATCTATTACAAACTGGATGAAAGGCTGTTATATACCACTTTAACCCCTAAAACTTATGCCACGTTTATAATTCTGAACTCTGTAGTTAATAGTGCTTGAATGAGAGTAGTCTTAGAAAATGAATGAAATGTGGATATTTCCTTAACTTTATTGTTAAGAGTGTTGGCTAAGAGTAGCACTAGGATAAGTGACCCTGTGAAGTCCTGGTGTTGCACTATTAGAAAATGTTTTGTTGTGGGACAATGTAAAACCAAATCAATAATAAAGACAAATTATATTTTGATCCCATCAACTATGACCAATTTTTCATATTATGCCCTTAATTATCATGACAATTTCTATCTAATAAGATAAAAAACATAACTTGTTTGGACAGTATACCAAAAAATAAATAAAAACAGAAATGTGGTGGTGGTGGTGGTGGTGGTAGTATTTTCTAAATTCTAAAAAGATTGTTTCAAAAAATATACAAAATAGCTCCAACTTGTTCTCTAATCTACATTGTTTTTTTTCTTAGTTTCCAAAAAATAAAAATAAAAAACAACTGGCCTAACAGCTTTCTCTAGAAACTGTAGATGCAAACCAAATGGTGCCAATTTTTTTTTTTTTTATCAAATGAATCTAAATAACCGATGTAAAATTAAAGATGAGGTCAAAATTCCCCTACCCAAAGCTAGATGCATTAATTTAATGATGGTTGAGGGGAACATTAACATATAAGAAGCTGAATGATAGTGAGAGACTTAGAGTGAAGTTAGACCGGGCCATAGCGTAAGGATGCATACTTAAAGGAGGGGAGCATGGAAAAAATTAGATGGCTTCTGCTACGGTGTGCTTTCTCACCTTCCCCTGCTATTAAGATAAACCCAATCACCATTAACAATGGGTGCACCTGTACAACAAAACAAAGCCAAAGAAATCAAAACATTGCCAATTAGAACCTAAATCAGAACAGATAAGTCATTCACTATGCATTGAGGAATCACATTGAAAATCTTCTGTTTGATGTCTGATTTGAAAGCAAAACCGTCCCGGAAGTGCAGGAGCCAAACAAGAAGAAGAGCCATCACAGCTATGGCTACCAAATGTGCAAACATGGCTACTGGTAACGCCGACAGTTGGAAGCTTTGACGACTTTTTGGTGCCATAGCTATACATTTCCAAGAGGGAGAGATGAATATATAAGAGATTTATGAGTTGATGGTCTTGAAATCTTCGCTATATAGAAGCTGAGAATGCATAGAGAGGCGGTCGGTCGCCATCTTGATTTCATAGTCGTGCACCAACCGTTTGACGAAATTCTTCAAAGATTTAGATACTGACAAAGTGAAATGCCCAAAACAAATACCAACAGAAATGGGAATCGAAACCGTCTGGCCGGACCAAACCGAAAAAATAAGGCCGGCTATTTCAAACCTGATGATTGCCGTACGTTGGGTGTTAACAGTACTAACATCCCTTCAAAATTAATTATATTAAACTTTTTTTTTTTGTCTAAAATCCATCGCTTCTCACGTAAATTGCACCCTAGGTACAAATTACAACTAGTTGAATTATATACTATTACTAGTTGTATATATCAAACTCATAAAATAAATTAGGCTTTATGTCAATTTAACACATGAACTGCGCAATCTGATTTAATTTAACCATTCCATCAAATTTTGTTATTAACCCTAATAAAAACCCTCACGTGCATATTATTTGAGTTAGAGATTAGATTATAGTTTAAGAGTTTCGTAATGTACACGTGAGGGTTTTCATCAACATTAAGAGTGAATTTTGGCGAAAAAAACTATATAGAGTTACATTGCATAATTCATAGATTAAATTGATATAAAACATAATTCAGGAACTAAATAAGTACTTAACTCTGGCTTAAAAGCACTTAATTGTACTATAAGAAGTACTAAATTTTTTGGATGCATTTGGCGTAATTTCTCAAAATAAAAGTTCATTCTTAAGATGCATTTTTTAACATAGACTTTTTGAAATGCTTAACTATTTGGTAAAATTGTGTTTTAAAAGTGTTTTTGAACTAATGTCTATTTACAACTTGTGTTTTAGTACGATATATCTTTTTTTGTTTTCTTTATGATAATCTGAAATATATAAATTACCTATGAAACAGTGTTAAAATAGATATTTAATTGCAAAAATTAAGGCTAACTTAGAAAGCAATGTAAAATTAAAAATTACTTTCTGAAAAGTACAAATATGATGATTTTGAAAAACTCTCCCAAGAGACTTCTCCTGAAGCTATTTTGTGTATTTTCTCTTGTAACTATTTGAATTTGAAAATAGTTGTCTTTCGTGTGATTAGCTTGCTTTGTCCCAGGTCATTTAGACATCAGCCAAGTGAGAAAATTTCTATTTTTATGACAAAAGTGTCATTCATTGAATTGAAAAATATAGTCCAGACTCCTGACTTTCAAAATTATTTGCACATAATGACAACTATTTGCAGTTTCCTAAACATTTGAAAGGGCGAATAATACTTTACACTAATTTTTTTTGTTAAATCGTCACTTTATACCCTAAAAGATGAAACTTTTACATTTCACCTTCAATGTCATAAAATGATAGCATTATTTGACCCAAAAGTTAGACGTGGTTGGCAATTCCGCCAACACATGCCAGGCACATGTTAGGTCAAGAGTAAAGTAGTTCTATATGGTTCATACCCCCTTGGTACATCCAAATTTGCAGCTAAAATATGAAAGGCCTAAAGAGGAAGAGCATAACCAAAAACCCCATTAACATACATTGATGTCGACATCATCCCAACCTTTGAGAACAAACAAAAAACATCCCCTCAGTCATCTTATACAACAACAGAAAAAAATAATTCATCAGCCAAAGTAGCAATAACAGGAAAAA